AGCAGGGGACCCCAGAGTTCCCAGTCGCCCTGGGCAGCAGGGGACCCCCTAACTCCTAGCCCTACGGTCAGGGGTCCCTCCCAGCTCCCAGACACTGTACGCAGTGGAGCAGGGTGCTGAACCCTCCTCCTTCACCATTTTGTCATGGATATTTTTAGTAAACGTCAGGGACAGGTCACGGGCAATAAACAAAAATTCACGGAAGCTGTGACCTGTCCCTGACTTTTACTAAAAACATCCCTGACAAAATGGTAGCCTTAGATATGACCAGTGTGACACAGGCTTTCAGTAAGCATCACATTCTTTTTGTGAACCCATGAGATCCTGGTCCCCACATTCCCTCTGGCAGTTGCCATCAATAGGTCCTTGCGTGACAGACAGGTACAAACCCATCCATTTATTTCCACAACAGAGCTTGCTTAGAACCACTTAAATGTTATCTGCTTTATCTCTAATTATCCACAGGCAGAGGATAGGATGGGCAAACTTCATGGGATAGGTTAAAGAAGGCGGTGAAGACGACCCTACTAGAGCCTGTCTTAAGTGTATGCAGTCACACAAGGTACCCAAAAGTGCTTAATTTCACTTGACTATAGTGAATTAAGTTAAGCACTTGGATAAGTCTTTGCAGGATCAGGGCCTAAATGTACAAGCAGAGGAAGGATGGGAGGAAGTAAGTATTATGATCTCCATTTTACAGATAGGGAACTGAAGCACAGAGATTAAGTAAGTTGCCTAAAGTCACACAGGTAGCCTGTAGCACAGCCAGGATTTGAGTCCAGATCGCCTTAGTCCCAGCCCAGTACTTCACCACAAGACCATCCTTCCTTTTGCCACTAAACAGATTTAAGATTGGCACTGTTACTATACTAGATTAAAGACAGAGAAAAATTCCAGTCCACACACCTCTCTCACAAATACAGAAAATATAGCAAACATGTTGACCAACACACACTTTTCTAGGAGATCAAAGTGCCACTATTCAGCAAAATACAATGTATACATCATAAAAGATATGTAGCCATAAATTAGAATAAAAAGATACACAATGCATATCTGGGCACATCCACAACAGTTAAGCCTGAGCTCTGCAGCAACATGTCCACCACCATCTGTATTCCCTTAAATTCACAATTCAATAATCTGATAACTTCGGGGATGGAGAAGATAATATATGGGTTTGTCCTCTATAACTTGTTATTTGCTGCACAAGAAATAAATGCATAGTCTTCTCTGGTATCTTCCAACATCTTGATGGGATCATAGGCTCCAACTCCGTGGGTGCTCCAGGGCTGGAGCACCCACAGGGAAAAATTGGTGGGTGCTCTGCACCCACCGGCAGCCAAGCTCCCCTCCTCACCCCCCCGCCCCACCTCGCCTCCTCCTCCTCCTCCCCTGAGCACGCCGCATCCCCGTTTCTCTGCCTACCTCCCAGTGCTTGCTGCCACAAAACAGCTGTTTTGTGGCGCGACGTGCTCCGGGAGGGAGGGGAAGGAGCAAGAATGCGGCGTGCTCAGGGAGGAGGCGGGGAAGAGGAGGGGCTGGGGCGGGGGTTTGGGGAAGGGGTTGGAATGGGGGCAGAGAAGAAGCGGGGAGGGGGAGGGACAGGGGTGGAGTAGGGGTGAGGCCAGGGGCAGAGGGTGGTCGAGCACCCACTGGCGCCAGCAGAAGTCGGCGGTGCCTATGGATGGGAGTACAGTATGGAAAAAGATTATGTTAGTTGTAGTCCACTGTGTGTCAGCCTGAGACAAGTATTGTCAGGAAAGGAAAATGACCCTCCATTTTTTTAGCAGGGAGATGTATCACAGTATCAAAATGAAGCAGGTAACTGGGATGAAAGATAGGACTCTGCTATGAAGATTTTAGGAGAAATCTCCCAATCAGTCAGTGATGAAAATCCCATGAGAAACACACACAGCAAAAGTATACAGGAACAAATGGACAATTATGGGAGACGTTTCTTCCTAACCCCAAGTGGTTGGCTTACAGACTATAGAACAATGGCTGATATTTTGTTTTTTCATACACAAAGAACAAGGGTATGTTATGAATTGGAATGATTTTGTTTTATTTCCCATAAACTAAAAATAAAATTCTGGATGTAAGGACAGGATACAAGCAACAAAAAGCTCAGAGAAAGCATAAAAGCAATTAAGAAGCTTCCAGTTTAAAACGATGAGGTAAAATGTCCACTTATGGAAGGCTTCCATCGAAAATCTGAAGCATATGTTAAGGGGTCTGAACAGTATTCTTTTACAATTATTGAACACTATGTGAAGAGAAAATGATATTTTCCTCTAATACTGGTGGGAAACGTGACAATGTTTAAAAACTTGTGTTGTCTCCTGCAAGCAGATGAGACGGTGTACAAGGACTTAAGAAGTGGTTAAAAAGTATGTCACAAAACCAAAACTTTCTAGGTGAAAGTTATAATTTTCATTTAAGAAACTGAATGGAAGGGAAAAAACCCTCTGGATTTCCAGCTAGTTTATAATAGCTTTCCACTACTCATTTTCATGACATAAGGAACTATGAATTAAGGAACAAATTCTGAGCACTGTTCATACAAGGGAACTGACTTTGGGAGCAGCTCTGTGTAGTTTAATGTTAGAGGCCCAAACCTCAAAAAAGATATAGGCGCTTCTCATTGAAATCAATGGCATTTAGGCATCTCTGAGGCCTGGTCTACACTGGGGGGGGAGGGAGGGGAAAATCGATCTAAGATACGCAACTTCAGCGACAAGAATAGCATAGCTGAAGTCAATTTATCTTAGATCGACTTAGATTGACTTACTTCATGTCCTCGCGGCGCTCCCGCCTCTCGCAGAGGTGGAGTTCCGGAGTTGACGGGAAGCGCGTTTGGGGATCGATTTATCGCGTCTAGACGAGACGCGATAAATCAATCCCCGATAGATCGATCACTACCCACCGATCTGGTGGGTAGTGTAGACGTACCCTGAGGATCTGATCAGAGTCAGCAAAGAAAAATGCTCACCAGACTGTGAAGACACCTTTGCCAGTGTGTCATGTTGCAGGAAAAAAGACCCAGTCTCCATGTAAAGACAGGTGATGGGGTTCACTTCATCTCAGAGGACATCAGTAAAGAGATGGATCATTGTTTCCATTATGGAAGGACATTGCACCAACTGTAACTATGGAAGTGGTCAACTACCCGCTTGTCCTCCTTCACCACAGGAACGAGGAGAGCCACACGTAAAGGGTGCCTTCTATACATAGGCCTGGGAAGGCGATGATGTTGGGAAAAATACTAGTCCAGAAATTGCTACTTCTAATCTCTCCATTTTCTCCTCAGTTGAAGGCTGCATATGTACATGAAACTGGAGGAATGATCTGGCCTCATAGGTTTTGGTATAATATTTATTAATACTTAGTGACAAAGAATCTGCGGTAATACATTGTGACACTACACCCCATCTTCGTCATAGTAATATGATGACGATATGATTATGGCGTAATTATGATGCATTTTGTACAAGATGGGTCATGTAAGGTATCACTGGAAAAGTTATGATTTGAATATGAATAATGAATATATGGAGATATACCTATCTCATAGAACTGGAAGGGACCCTGAAAGGTCATCAAGTCCAGCCCTCTGCCTTCACTAGCAGGACCAAGTACTGATTTTGCCCCAGATCCCTAAGTGGCTCCCTCAAGGATTGAACTCACAACCCTGGGTTTAGCAGGCCAATGCTCAAACCACTGAGCTATCCCTCCCCTCTGATTTGCTGAACATGATTATCTTATTTGTGTGCATATCGTTTTTGTATCTGAAGTTATAAATATTGACTATGTACCTGTATTTCAAATGTAGTTATACCTGGGTGACACCCACTAGGCAAGAGGCTTCCAGTCTAGATAGCTGGTTGTGAAGGGCTATTCAAGGTAATGAGCCATTAGGGAAAACAATAGGCCTTAGGAGAAGCTTATCCCCCACCTGTGAGCCTTCCTGAGAACGCTCCAGACAGCCTGTAAGTAATGACTGCTATGACTCTGCAAGGGCATGTGACCAGCCCACATGACTCTGGACTCCATTTTGGGTGTCTACATTTTTCCACAAACTGGTCTGGGAACTGGTTTTGGAACAAAGGGTTCCCGCCATTTGCTAAAGCTATATAAGGCAGGGAGTGACATCATCTGTTGTTCTTCACTGCCCCACAACTCAACACCTGAGAGAAGCTTCTAAGGAAAAGGACTTGGAATGGGGGTGGGGATCCAAAGCTGCAAAGCAAGTGCAGGTTGTGCCTTGAGAATCTGCAAGCCTGCTTGTATCGTCAGTCAGGATGAGAGATTGTTAATTCAAATCCTATCCTTCTAGTATGTTAAATTTAGTTGGTGTTTTTGTTTCTTTACTCGGTAATCTGCTTTCATCTGTTCGCTATCACTTATAATCACTTAAAATCTATCTTTTTGTAGTTAATAAATTTATTTTCTATTTTAAATCTAAACCAGTAAGTTTGGAGTGAAGTGCTTAGGAATCTTAGCTCAAGGGGCAGGGGCTGTTGCATTTCCTTTCCACATTGAGGGAGGGGGCGAACTCTATCATCTTACACTGTACAGTTCCCTGTGCAGTGAAAGATGGTATAATTTTGGATTTATACTCCGGGGGAGGTGCGCGCCTGGGGAGCTGAGAAATTGGCTGGTGTCTGTTTGCACTCAGGTAGCCCAGTTTGGATGAGTGGTGCAACCTGCTGTGGTGTTGGGTGATAACAGAGCCTGGGTGAGGCTAGCTGTGTCCCCAACCCAGCTGTGTGTCTTAGAGGGGCGCAGTGGTTCCCACAGCTCCCAGACTGCACCCCAGGGGTAACAACCCATCATATACATATTTATAGATACATTTCCACATGGTGCTTGGGATTTAGCCACACTACCCTATCTACCATATATTCAGAGAAGTCATGTTGAACAATATATTCCTGTCTTTCATAACTTAAAAATGAAATAAACACAGAACATCTAAATGAGCGTAAACAACTTACCTGTTCATTTTTGGTCAGTCTGGTTTTGTTATGAATGTCTGATGTAACCAGGTTGAACCCATGCCTCTCTGACAAGATTCTCAAAAGCAAAACCACAGTTCGACTCCCACACTTTCCAACTCTGTTGTACACCACTTGGCTAGGGAAAGGAAGTACCTAGGTAAAGATTGAAAAGAAATGCAGTGAGCATACTGGTCTTTCCATTTCTAGGCACCTCAGAGCCACAGAATACCTTTGCTGTGACTCAAGAGATAAAGATTTTCTGAGTACTACACATGTCCATGTCTAGGTCACGAGTGTTCCATTCCACTAGCAAGCTATAAACACATAGTTAGAGTCTTTAGCGTATTAATGGGAGGCTCGATAACTCAGAAAATGATGACGGGATACAGAGACGCCCCCCCCCCCCATGAGGCTCCAGTTTAATACCCTAGTGCAGGCCAGTCGTGACACAGACGTATCACTGCTTGATGGCTTCTATTTAAATGAATTCGTGGGCTTAAGCTTGTTGCTTGTGCCCACATCAAAAAACACAGTATCACAATTAGCTTCGTTGCTGACTGTCTCAATAGAGACAGCACAGACTGAATGGTTATGGAACGTACACTACTTCTGGAGCTGGTCCTTTTGGGTCAGCGCTGACATATTTTGAAAGGGCAATGTGAAGGAAGATGTGATGGACAGAGGCCTTCAGATGCCAGAGCTATCAATCTGGCACCTTTCACCAGCACTAAAATTCATTAACCATTTTTTTAAATTAAGAGAATAAAACTTCCAAAGAGACATTATGCATGAATCATGCCTTGACAGCTAAGTTAAAAATAGAGTTCAGCTGGTTCCAATTCAAAAATGGATTACTTGACCCACCACAACACTGTTTATAAAATGACATCTCTATAAATCAGATAGGAGTAGATAACTCAAATGAATTTAAGTGTCAGCTAATTATATGGGTCAACAAACTGCCCTCATCGATCCCCCAATAAACAATGACCCGACTCCTCCTGCTGTTGTACAATTTGAGTACACTTTACACTCCATTTTGGACCAACTTGATCCCACAGGAATTAGACAGAATGTCCAACTATATTTTAACACTAGTTTAAAAATGCAGCCTTTGATGGAAAGATCATGTGGTAATAAGTGTTGTTTGCTGACTGGTGGCTTTAGGAAATCATATTTTTCATTTTTGTCAGTTTAATTTTTAACGTTTTGAATTATTTTTGGCCATATTTTTATATAATACAAAAGGTTTTAAGAATGGATTCAAAACAACCAAGGGAATCGTGAACTCCAGATAGGTAAGGAAGAACATTTCAAATCCAAGTCACACAAGGAAGGACAATAATTTGGAAATCATAAATGGCAAGAATGAAGGAATGATTATTCCCTCATTTGTGTCCACACTGACACTGAAGTCCTTATGCTGATCTGAATTGCAACCATAGCCACAGGAAATGTTGTACTGATGTCTAATATCGAGTATATTTTAAAGTAACATAAGAAATAAATATTAAGAACTCTGTTTTATATTCTCAAAGCTATTTATAGTCATTAACTAAATGTCTTTGAACAAGGTAGGTATTTTAGAACAGCAAATATGCTTCAGAAAAAAAAAAAAGTACCAAACCCCCCCCCCCACCGCAGCTGCCGGCCTCCGCCCCAGGCTAGTGTCCCCAGCCCTGAAGTGCCCCCAATCCCCTCCTCCAGCCCCGGAGCAACGGGCAGGCAGGTGGCGCAACCCGAACTGGGGCCACCCCACAGGGAGACTGGAGCCACGCCAACCAGGAAGCAGGAGGGGAGTTGGGGGCAGCGCATGGGTGGGGTCACGCCTGCCTGTTTGGGGAGGTACAGCCTCCCCCAGCTTATGATACTCACAGCCCATGGTACAGTAACTCCCGCTTAACGTTGCTGATCAATTAGGGAACATGCTCATTTAAAGTTGTGCAATGCTCCACTCTTATCTTGTTTGGCTGCCTGCTTTCTCCACAGCTGGCAGCCTCCCTACGCCCCCCGGCAGACCCCGCAGATCAGCGCCTTCCCCCTCCTCTCCCCGTCTCCTGCCCGCGGCAATCAGCTGGCTTGCGGCGTTTTGGAGGCAGGGGAGAGGAGCGAGGACTCGGCATGCAGGCTCCCCCTCCCTCCCCTGCCACCTGAACACCGCAAACCAGTTGATTGCCCTGGGCAGGAGGCAGGGGGGGGAGAGAGGGGGAGCCTGTGCCAAGTCCTCGCTCCTCCCCCTCCCTCCTAAACGCCACAAGCCAGCTGATTGCCCCGGGCAGGAGGGAGGCAGGAGGAGTGAGGACTCAGTGCGCCTCCCCCCTCCCTCCCCTACACGGCAATCAGTTGGCTTGCGGCGTTTAGAAGGGAGGGGAGGGAGGGGGAGGAGCCAGGACGCAGCGTGCGAAGTAAAGGGGAAGGACATGGGGGCAGGGGGGGAAGAAGAGGTGGGTCAAGGGTGGGGGCTTGGGGGAAGGAGTGGAGTGGGCGGGCTGAGGGTTGAGCCCCCCGCCCCTGGTGCTTGCAGAGTTAGGGAAGCTGCCCTGGAACCTAACCCCCCCCCCCATTTACATTAATTCTTATGAGGAAATTGGATTCGCTTAACATCGTTTCACTTAAAGTCGCATTTTTCAGGAACATAACTGCAACGTTAAGTGAGGAGTTACTGTATTAAGGGAAGGAAATAGCTGATGAATTTCTCAATTAATAGCAAGGCAAGCAAGAGAGTTCGCTGTTAGGATAAACTTTAGCTCCTTAAACAAAATCATTTTGTATATTACATAAATATCTGCAACAAGCTCTTTCCCAGTATTCATATCTATACTAGTGCAGCTGTTCAAGGAAAGAAAAGAAAACATACTGGATATCATTTAGCTAGCCAACTTTAGGGGCTTTTGTCAACAACAAAATGAAGACAGAACACACTGGCTGAGAGCTAGTTCTGAACTGTAAATTTTTTAAGTAGCATATATCCTGCCATAATTTAGAATGTCTTTTTCATTCAAATGCCACTAGAGTCTTAATCATTTGTTTCAATTATACTTTACTGTGAGCCAAAAATACAGCACAGCTTTCTTTCTGTTGTCTGCACTTCCCTCATTCTAATCAGGGTAGAAATCTATATTTTTACAACACAAAGAAACAGTTTTCATTGCTAGGAGGATCTGGCAAAGCTAGCTTTGCATGTATTCAGCAGTTTTGGTTTTTCCAACCTGGTGAAAAGTTCATTTCTTCTCCTTTAACACCCTTTCATAAACTGCATGCTCATTTTGCCTGTTCTCTTTTAACAAACCTTCCAGTTTCCAACCCTGTTCAGCTGCCCTTTGGCAGTTCCTTAATGGCAGTGAAGGCAAAAATCAATAAAGCCTGGTTAGTTGTCTCTACTATTTCTATTGTGCCTCTCTTATCGGGGATCTAAAGCATTACCTCCAACCTGCATCTCACCTCCAGCTGAGTTCCAAATGTCTCTTTGAACATGGTGCCTCAAAGAGCACTGCAACATACCTTTATTCTATGAGCTATTACAGATGTCCTACAGCTGCCTGAACTCTGATATTTCTCTTGACTCAGTCAGCTGTCAAGGAACACTCTTGAGAAAAAACGTTATACTGCATTCTGCAGCACAACTAAACCTGACTGCCCCACTCATCTTATGAGAAAAGGAGGCCTAGCAGAACCAATGAGAAACTCTGTTCTCTCTCTCAGAGAATTTTGATATTACAACCACATACATTCTAACTTGTCAACAGCCAAATATTAAGGAAAACTAAAAAAATAAAATAAAATAAAAAAAGCAGTAGGATAAAATACAGAAGTCTCAAAGATTTTAATGGAGCGTCACGAATGATGACTTGGATATTGTCAAGTCCACTTTATAGAGCTAGATGAAAGGAGAGCTATTCTGTAACAGAGACAGATCCTAGTATAATTGCACTTAAACTGTACCTATGTGACCTGGAAAGTGCAAAACCTGAGAGGTATTCATCAATGTTATAGGTAGATTATAAACTCTTTAGGGCAGGGACTCTCTTTATATTCTGTGTTTACACAGCACCTCGCACAATGGGGTCCTGGTCCGTAACTAGGCCTTCTAAGATCTACACCAGAGGTCCCCAAACTGTGGGGCCCGGAGGAACATGGGGGGGGGGCAAGAGAAGGGTCATGGTGGGCCAGGCCAGCCCCCATGGGGGGTGGGGAGGAAGGGAAAGAGGGCCACCCAGCCCTGCCCCACCCCGGCCCCAGCTCTACTCCGGCCCTGTCCCCACCCCCAACCCCTGGCCCCGTACCTGACCCTGGCCCCACCCTCGGTGCAGTTCCGCCCCGGCCAAGGGCCCGGCTGCTGGCCCCCTGGCTGCAGCTCCACTCCCAGCCCTGCCCCCACTCCAGCCTTGGCTCCTGGCTGTGGCTCCATGCCTGGCACCAGACCCACCCCCGGCTGTGGCTCCAGCCTCGGCCGCCTTACCCCATCCATGCCCCCCCAACCTCCTGAACCACAGCCCCTCTCCTGGCCCTGTCTCTGGGGGAGGGGCAGGGGTTGCAGAAAGAGGAAGGGGGGGGCACAACCCTCAAATGTTTGGGGATCACTGCTCTACAGTAATACAAATAATTAACAACAGTGTCAAGTAAATTAGGTGTACAGTTTGTGCATGCCTGTGGGCTTGCACAAACTGTCCTTTCAGCTAAAACCAACTCTGGCTGAAATCAAGGTATAGGTCAAACAACTGCTATGTAACTATGCAAGAACAGTATCATTTAGCAGTCTGATGATTGGGGCAATAAATGAAAAGGCAGATTGCACTGTTGTTCTTCACAGTGCCAGCTCACACCGCCAGGGGAGTCACAGTTTCATCTGATGCGGGAGATATTGGGTGTGCTGCTAAATCTGTCTTATAGAATTATTTTTACATTATTTCACGCTTCTGTAATGGCTTCTGTTGAGAGACTAGTGTTCCAATGTAACCTGCTGCAAATTTACATGTTACTGCTTAGAAGGCTGACCTATGCCAGAGTCAAATCAGGTGGGAAGAGTGGTACTATACTCCATTTCAAGTACACATCTAATTTATTAGATTAGCAATTTCAGGCCAATGAGTTGAGCCTTATGTCTCCTTTAGAAAAAGTACCTTGGGCACTCACTCAAGAAAAAAACTTGTTTT